ATTTTCATGCTTTCACTCCTCTTCCTCGCACCCTCTTCTCTCTCCAATCAGTCTGTGTCTTTTTCAGCAACACATGAGGGGTTTGTAAAGAAACACTGGAGGCTGCAAAGACTGGCACCTATTGTGCTCAGCTTCCTGCAGTGTTTGTGTGTGTGTGTGTGTGTGTGTGTGTTAGCGTGTGCGTGCATTTGTGTGTGTACTTGACCCTTCGCCACAAAAGGCTTTAGGATGTGAAGAGGGACCTGTGTGCATGTGTGTATGTGTTTGTGTGTCCGTAGATGTGTTTGCTTGTGGGTGTGTGAGTGAATTTAAGCCGGGGCGAGGAACCAGGCCCCTCACACAATGCAAGGGTTAGCCCCCACAGTAGCCACTTCCCCCTGGATCAGAGCTGCCTTTCTCCCCCTTCACAAAGAGCACTCTGTGGCTCTGCCTGCCCGGGGCTCCCATTCAAGACATTCACAGGAAGAAAAAGGAGGGAGGGAGGCTGGAAAATAGAGAATGGGATGTTAATAAAGGACGGGACATAAGAATAACCAGGAGAGAAGAGAGAGAGAGAAGAGCGAGAGCCCTGACCGTTTGTGTAATTAGTCCTTTCTGTATGCAGCTCATCACAGAACAGAGACAGACAGCACAGGAGAAACAGACTGTTGGTGTGTTTATTGCTGCATCTGTGAAGGCTGCTGCCTGCCTGCGGGGTCAGAGGTCAAGGAATGTGATGCTTGTTTGACAGACACTTCTCAATTTGAAGCAGTGTAGATTTACAGAGAGAAATGGTACATTGCTGGTTTGAATCTGCTCTCCACAAGTGACACATTCAAAACTATTCAAACATATTCAAAGCTGACACATTTCACTGCATGGCCAATGCTGCACAAAGCCCAGGTAGCAGATTGGATGTTGCTGGCAGTGGTGCTTTGTTTGTGGTTTGTCCATGGTCTTGTCTGACCTGTATTGTTGTCTGTTACTGTAGCAACATTTGACACACACAAATAGTAGGTGTGTATCAATGCATGTCTTCCTGTCATCAAAACTATAGTCTAAAGTTTCCTGACAGTAATTTCTTCCTTATCCTGGAAAAATCTGTGTATTTTAAGATTCTCTCCAACATGTATTCTTGGTCCTAGTGTTAGTATTAAAGATAATGTTGATTTGAGACTGGTGGTGACTTGTGATGTTGGGCAGTGTCAGTCTGCTGGTCAGTTGAACAGTCGGTCAATCCATATCATAGACTGTTTATAAAGAGGGACGACGTGTCTCGACTTCCTCTCCTACCCAGAAATTGAGCCAAAATATCCTGGATACCAACGCTGCCACCTTCACCATTTGAAACCAGAGTCTGTGCAATAGCGATCGGGGGGATTGAGGTCCCATCGACAAACATGCACAATCAAACGTGTGTCAGTCATGATGTTTCCCCTGTATCTATAGCGACAATTAACTAATAAACCTTACTGGAAAACTTGAAACATACATCAGCGTGATAAGAACTACATAAAGACAGAAACCATCTGTGGTGGTATCTGTGGTGTAATTTGAGGGTTTGAATTCTTACTACAAGTAATAAAGGATCAAATGCAGCTTTTGTGTCAACCAAATCCTCCGAGTGTAAATCTCCCAGAGAGAGACAGAGGGAGTGATGAAGGAGAGAGCAGTTATTAGGATCATTTTTCCACTTTGATGTGACCTGTTATGACACATTAGACCCACTTCTCCTCTCTGCTGAGCCTCTGAACCCAGTCGCTCCTTCTCATTTCCCTCTGCGCTTTTACTAAACTTTTTTTTTCCTTGTCAGTTACAGTCAAGCGCACCCTCAAGCCCCACAGATACACGCGCTGTATTAATTTCTGCTCCCACATCTTTTGTCTCTCTGCCAGGTTGAGCCGGGTGTTCAGGGACTCAGCCGGGAGAGGGTGAGTGCTGAGAACACACAGTTGCAGCAGGACAAGAGGACTCCACCTACCCCGTCGCCTCACCCCCTGGCTCACCCATTTGGCCTCACTCCCAGCTCCATCATGCAAAACTCCAGAATACAGAGCCTTAGGTGAACTTAACACACACTCAAGTCAAGTTTATTTGATAATAAACCTTCCAACCTTTAGTTTAAATGTGTGATATTACATTAACACTGTGTCACATTTCAGCAGTTTGCCGGGGCAGATGCACCCTGTGGTTCCCTCAGGCGCCATCCCAGAGGAATACCTGAGAGCACTTCGGCCATTCGCCACCTCAGATGACCTCCGGTTGACCTCTTTACCTCTGACCCTCGACCCTGCTGCGGCCGCCCATGCTGCAGCAGCTGCTGCTTACTATCATCCTGCCTACCTGCACCACCCTCTGTCTTTACCAAGGTAACAATACCACCTTAAACTCCTCAGTCCCACAAGACCCTAACTATCTCATGTTGTGTTGTCGCACACAAAACCTTAGTTAAAATTCTAATCAAGACAAGATTTATAGATATTTCCATTTCCATCTCTGGTGAGTGTGTTTGTCTCAGTATTTGGTAACTTAAGCTCGGCTCAGACTATTACAGTTTTTGAAACCTAATGGATTTTGAAGTCCTCACTACCCACACTACAAGATTAGGAAATAAAGGAATGAACCATCGCACGTCTCACATTTGACCTCATGGGGAAGAAGACGTAAATAAAAGTGTAGTGTGGAGCAACAACTTGTTATAATGTTCATAAACAAAAGCAGAACGCTAAACAAGTCTGCATAAAAAACTAGTCGGAGAGACAAGGTCAACACAGGTTATTTATGCATTCAAGCTGATGTTAGCCTCAGAATTTGTTACGTTGCTTGGCAGCACTTTCAGCTGGTCCGGTCTCGAACAAGGTACCAGACCAAATTTCTCCTCCGATTCTCAGGGAAACTGAATTGGGGTTAAATCTGCCTGAAAATGATGGGTTACTGTGTTGCTTACAATACTTCTAAAAATCAGGCGTACACCTGTAAATACCTCTTCACTCAAACAAATCTGTTTTCTATATATTCAAACATCTGTTTGCTCGTTACCCTGTGACAACTCCTACATTACTTTCATTCATTCACATCATCCTGCTGTGATGATACCTTTATAAAACAAATAATATATTCCACACCTAGCCTGTGCAGATAGTAGTGTGAGTAGTACAATAATCCGATTGCTTTGTTTCTTTGTGTCTGTCATAGGATGGAGGAGTCACTGTGTCTCTCTGCGCTGCGGTCACAGTTCTACTCTGTGCCTGCAGGGGGCGCCTTCTCTCCTCTCCACCCCTCTGCCCTCCACCTGCACCTGCCTGGAGGCCGCTACCCTGCAGAACTAAACCACACAGCACTGGCGGAGAGGTAACACACACACACAGTAACACACACACACACACCTTCCACACTTTCCAACCTTCCTTCCTTCCTTCTTCCCTTCCTTCCTCCCTCTCACTGTTTGCAGGGCTGTGCAATTTCCCTCTGTAGGGACGGCACTGGTTGCTGAGTGTGTGATATTTTTAGCACACACCCCACAGTGCCTCCTATACACTCATCACAATCACTGCCCTTCACACACACACACACACACACACACACACACATGCACGCTTCTGCATATTCAACAGTCCTCACACACGCACATGAGGAAGTCTTGCTCTGTCTCTTCTCTTTCTGTAGGTTTCTTCCTCACTTTCACAAAACACATTGTTTCCCTGAGGCTCGAAGCACAGGGAAATGTTTGTGTTTGAAATAGATGGTATTTATTGTCTGCTTGTGTAATTGCTTCTGCATATCTTGTCTGTTTGTTTGTGTGCTATTGATTGCTGGTGAGTGTGTTCTGCTCTCGTATGTGTGTGTGTGTGTGTGTCCTTTTCCTGTGGATACCTATTAAGTGTTCATCTGCTCTTGCTCAGTCATGCTGCGTATGGATTATTTTCCTCATGGTAAATGGAGAGCGTGTGTGTGTAAATCTGTGTCTTTGCGAGTGTGTGTATGTTTGAGCAGAAATGTTTGTGTGAGGTTCAGCAGTGTGTGGTTAATATCTGCCTCATGTTGGGTGTTGCATCTCTCACCTTCTCCCCCTGTGCGCGTGTGTTGTGTGTGCATACTTGTCAACCTCCCCCACAGGCTACAGATGGAGAATGAGCTCCGCCAGCGAGAGAGAGAGCAAGAGCGCGAACGAGTGAAAGAAAGGGAGCGCGAGGCAGGACTGGAACGAGAGCGGGAGAGGGAGCGGGAGAGGGAGCGGGAGAGGGAGCGGGAGAGGGAGGAGGAGAGGGAGAGAGAGCGGGAGAGAGAGCTGGACAGACAGAAGGAGAGGCAGAGGGAGAGACAGCAGCAGATGGTCAGAGCGGCAGAGAGCCACTACCTGGCTGAGCTGCAGGCTCGGAGGGCACCACCGGAGGACAGGAGCAGGCCAGGGGAGAGGCTGACCCCAAACAGACTGGGTACTTACACAAGAACACACACACACTTATACATGTGTACATGTGGGCACAACCAGATTGGTAGAAAGTGCTGTGTGATAACAAAAGTACCCGGTGGTTCCTATCTGGTCAGATAACAGTTGTAAATGAAAGAGGACACAAACTCAAATTGTGATTTAATATGAGGTTTGACAATAAGAGGTTCCAACACTGGTTTTTAGCCAAATATCTTGACACGTTCTGGGCAGATTGTGATGAAATTTAGACTCTACATTTTGTTGACCCCCTGACCTCTTATCACGCAGAGCCACTATTCCAAAGTCTCCATTTGTATAAAAGAAATATAAAGATGTAACAAGCAGATTGGTATGAGCATGCTGCCCAGAGGATGAACCCTGTGAAGTGTAATTTCCCTCTGAAACCTCAGTCCTCATCTTATCATTGACTCACACAGACCGTAAAGTAACAATCTAATCATGATCTAATCTAAGGCAGACTGTTCAGGGGAAATTTGCAGAACATAATGATTCTTGAACACTTAACTGGGTCAGTGTGTGAAGAATTCTACATATGATATATTTAATCTTACTTAAACGACCCACACAGCTCTACATGTACATTTTTAAACCTTATAGTTCCATCATCTTGTCCACTTTTGTGTAAACGTCAGTGTAAGATGTAGAGTGACAAGTGTTTCATCATAATGTTGTTCAAAAACGAATTTATGATTTCTATTACTTTACCAGACAACCTCAAGGATTCTGAGCATCCATCTTTCCCAGCACAGAAACCTCTGCCCCTGCAGACAGGCCTTCACTCCTCCAGGGGCTCAATCCCACATTCGGTGCCCAACCTGATGCCTTCTCACTTGGGGAAGCATCCTGCTGCTGCTGCTGGGGGGCTTCATGGAGCTCTGGCAGCTGCCATGACGAGTCACAGGGCCAATGAGGAGGCCTGGTTATCACGGCAACGAGTGCAAGGGCAGGAGAGGGGGGGTCCGCTGGAGCTGGGCCTCAGATCACCAGGGAAAGGGTTGGATTCAAGGAGAGACATCCACAGGTGAGAATGCAGAATAAACTATAACTTCAGATAGTCCTTTATACCCCTGATGCAAAGTTACATAGTGTAGCTGGAGTGAATCTAAATGTGTTGTTCTCTCTGTTGTCCACAACAGAACCAGTTCTGTCCATCACAATCCAGGCAACAAAGATGTACCCTCCTGCCTCGGTGCTCCACCTCCTCTTATCTCCCCTAAAGGTCACCATCATCCTCCCGTCCCTTCAACTACACTGTGGAACCCAGCGTCCTTTGTGGACACCCACACAGACTCCCGCAGAAAACTCAATCTCCCTACCCCACCGAGTCGACCACCTCCAGGACTGACGAGAGCCGACAGACCCCCGATAAGCTGGGGGGACAAGCTGGAAGATGGAGGCAGGAAGAGGGCAGAAGGCCCAGAGAGGTATCTGTCACTGAGGGGAGCTAGTTTACAGGAGTCCTGGAACAGGGCTGAGCAGGAGAGAGCCATCCAGGGTCTCTACCACCAGCACCACATCAATAACCTACACCAGAGATCCTGCACACCACAGTCTGTTCCCAGCACCGACCCGGGGGGACGGTGCCAAGAAGCCTCTCTGTCTCCGGTGAGGGAGCGACAGAGTCAGGCGCCCGACAGCATGATGGTGTACGATGAGGTTTTGCAGCAGCACCGCCGGCTGCTCAGCAAGCTCGACCTGGAGGAGAGTAGGAGGAGGGAGGCCAGAGAGGGAGGTGAGCAGGGTGATGGAGGAGGACGAAGGGTGGGGGTGGATTTATAAGCAGGAGGGGAAGTGATGACTTTAGGGAATGGTTGCTTGTGCCATTAAAAAGTAGCCTGTAGGCCTGCAATGTTTTTATGATGAAAGATAATTCCTTTCTTGCTGTGCTCTTATCAGGTTATTACTACGACCAGGATGAGTCATACGATGAGAGTGACGAGGAGGAGTTGAAAGCCCATTTGAGGAGGGTGACAGAACAGCCCCCACTCAGACTGGACACATCCTCCGAGGTGCATGAATATCAGCTCACATATGTGTTTGAAATGTTATAGTTTTTGTTCCGATGATATTCACCTGCTCAAATCCTCTCTTTAAAGAAAGTGGAGTTCCTGCGCGCGTGTGGTCTGACCACGCTGACCCATCGCGATGAGCTCCTGGTGAAGAAGAGGAGGAAACGGAGGAGGATGATGAGAGAGCGTAGTGTCTCTCCACCAGCCGGGCAGGGCAAGAGAAAGTCTGCTTCACCTTCAACACCTCCAACTCCCTTAACTACCCCGTTCTCTGCTGAGCAGATGGACAGCACCCCCGAACTGGAGGAGAAAAAAGACTTCCTCCTTATGTTTAACCTCTCCCATGTCAGCCCGCAGCAGAGGAGAGGTAACAACCTGTTTAGTATCCACACACACATCCTACGTTCTGGTCTCTGCACAGGTTGTCCTCCGGATTCCCTGTGGGAAAATGCAGCATTTCTCTCAGTTTTGCTTTTTTATTAAGAATGTGGGAGGGATGAGAAGAAAATAAAGAGAGGAGAGATGTAGAGAGGTGGTTGTAGCAGGGTTTTCTTCTTAAGACTGCAAGGGTAGATTTTAATCTACAGCCTTTCAGAACATAGTGGAAGAAGTTGTTCCACAAATGCAAGAGACACTGTTGCATAATCAACTGCTCATTTATCCTCCTTTTCAATGTTTCATTTTTCTTATGCACCTAGTTTACTGTACAGTTGTGGTAATTACTTTTTGAATGAATGGAGGACATAAAATCTGGGTTAAATCTGTATAAACTGATCCACTGTTCTGAATATTTTGAGTGTGAAAACTGGTACAAACGGAAATTTATAATCTTTTGTTAAACTTTAATTTTGAGGCTGTGGTCTGTCTGTGATGCAGTGGACACCTCAGATCATTCATTCACTGACCTTTTTCCATCAGTTCCCGGTGCCCGTCAATTCTTTAAGTCTGCCTATTTTTAAAGATGAATGACAGCTGTTCTCATTCTGTCCTTTTCCTCTGCAGATAAGGAGAGGGCAGAGGAGCTTCTGACGGCCATTCAGAGGAAAACTGTGACGTTAGACACCCTCAGATATAATCCCTTACCTCCATGTAGCAGTCCTCCTGCTCCCTCAACTGGTGAGACACACAAGAGCAGCTAAACATCTATATCCAAGTTTAAAGTTCACTTCCTTATTATCTGTGCAAATTAATTTTTAGGTGACTCCTCCTCAGCCCCTGTGAAGTGTCAATCAAACGGACATGTGTACCCAGACTCTCCCAGCCCGTCCCCTCCTTACTTACATAAACCCAGGAACCACCGTACCACCCAGCTCAAGCACTCCATGGACTCCCAGGTGGCCCACGTTCCTCCACCTCTGGCCTCCCACCATAAAAAGGTTGAATTCACGGAGGCTCAGCCAAACAGGAAGCACCAGAGCCTCCAGAACGGCGTTGTTGCTTCTCCCCAGAAAAAGGAACCTGGTCCGGTGCACAATGGGAGTAACCGGCCCTGGGAGAGATTCACACCTGAGGCCTTTGCTCAGCACTTCCACCAGGCTGTGCTGCAGTCCACACACAACACACTGCAGAACAAAGGTTAGTCATGCATCCTCATAGGTGAACGACCATTAGATTTGACTGCCATCTAGTGGTGTTTTTGTGAACCACCCTGAAATGTCTGCTGGGATACATTAAGTGTGTTGACTCTTGTTGGGTGCTAAAACGACTCTTATCTTCTCAGGAGTCTCAAACTGTGTTCCTGAAGCTGGCATGAAGGTTGAGCCCTCGCTGCCTCGCAACTGTCACCTGAAACACTCCAATCTCAACCACGCCCCTCAGCACGCGCACATCAACGGCCATCACTCACACGCTTCTGTAGCCAATCGGGACACCGTGGGGCCACGAGAAAACCTGTCTGATGAGGATGAGGAAGAGTCTGGGCAGGAGGAGGAGGAAGATGAGGAGGAGGAGGAAGCGGCGGAGGAAGCTCCGAGGAAGTGGCAGGGTATTGAAGCTATTTTTGAGGCCTATCATGAGTATGTGAATGGTAAGTCAATGTCAAGAGTCGGTTTTAAGTACGTAGCCCAATAATGTATCAGGTGGATTTGGGATTATATTAATACCCCCCACTCATTAGTGTGAATGGCCTGATTAGAATTTGGTGGTCAAAGGTTAAGGTCCCTGTTACTCCAGCAAACTCCATGTTTTGCCTCGTGAATCTGTTTTTTAAGAACAAATGGAGAGAATCATTTGAAATCTGTCCTAAATGTTCACTTAGACTCACAGATTAACTCAATAGATTTGGGAGGTCAAAGGTCAAGGTCGCAGTGGCCTCACTAAACATGATTTTGGCCCTTTGAACACATCTCAAGTCTTTAGATAATTCCTGCACATTTGAGCCACTTGGACCCAAAGATGAACTGATTCAATTTAAGTGGTCAAAGGTCAAAGTGACCTCATATGAATCTGGAAATAAATGTTAGTAAACTGAAGCCACACTGGTTGTTGGAGGGAACAAGCACAGTGTGGTAATCCTAGTGTTTCTGTGTGTTTCTCTCTTCACAGAATGGAGTATAGAGAGGGAGGTTCTTCACACACAGTGTAAAAGACTTGAAGCACAAAACTATAATCTGACCAGAACTGCGAAGCAACTCTCTCTCACCATGGGGGTAAGTATCTGAGACCTGTCAGTGTTGGTCTGAGTCAGTGTTAAAGTAGCTCAGTGCTGAAAGTCTTGGTTCTGTGCTGAGAGTTTCTGCCGTCCTTCATTTATCAGGAGCTGGTGAGTCAGAGGCAGAAAGTGAGAGAGGAGCGAGAGAAACTGCAGGCGCAGCTGGAGCACTTCAGGAGGTGTCTGACACTACCCAGCATTCACTGGGGCAGGGGCCAAGTCAACGGGCACACGCCGAGGTGACCTCTGACACGGACGCTCCGACGGATCCTTCTCTGACAGCGGAGGAACAGTCACGAGAACAGGATGGACTGGAGCCAGACCACTGTGGGCGCTCAAAGGAGCCAATCTATGTCTTGTTACCTCCCTGGCCAATCAGTTACATTATCTGACTGGCTCCAGATTCAATTGATTACCTGCCGTGTTTGCCACGGTAACAGCAATCCATCGCGACCACATAGTCTGGGCAGCCCCCCTCCCTCTCTGTGTCTCGTTGGACTGAAACAACACTGTGTAGGTCAAACAGCGTCTTCATAACCACTCCCATCATTCCCTGATTTGGCTTTAAGGACGTTCCGCCATTAAACTCATGTCATATCAACTTTCTGTATAAACTGTATTGATCCACACTAACGGGATGTATCACTTGGCACATATCTGTAGCCTCTCTGGAGCAGAGGGTGGAGACTGTGCAGGGGTCACTTGGTTAAAACTCAGAGAGTTAAAGTTGAGGAATCAAAGCACACCTCAGGCCTTAAACTTGACAGGATGCACTTGAAATGAAATGAGAGGAAATCCTTGAGCGTCCTCTGTGTGGTGTGAAGTTGTAGTGTCTACTGAGTACAGTACAGTGTCTGACAGATGAGGCGGATTATGTGCTGGTTATGGTTCCACAGAGGATAGGAGACTTCTTAAAGATAATATCTATATAATGGAAAATGGTATCGGTGAAGTTTTTTTCTTATGTTTTCTGTTGTTACCTTACTTGTGATAGACAAAGAATTTTGTATGTTTTATTGTATTAACCATTTCTTGTGAGAAGCCATATGTTGCGTTTGAACTGCTGCTGGTCAGAATCAAAATGTTTAGAAAGTGAAGGATGTTATTTGAAAAAATTTTCACGTGATGTCACAGTGTTTGAAGATGGACAAACACGACATGGGGGGGTGAAGATGAAGCAGCAAATGTCTGTCTTTACCTCAGAACATCATCAAGCTGTTGCCATCGTTCAGATGGTTCAACCCAGACTCTGTGTCATGCGCTCTTCACATGCCTATAAATGTTGACAAAACTTGAAGAAAATAAAAGTTCTGATTTGATTTGATTTATTTGAAGGAATTTTGTTGAAAATGTCTCCATGTTGTTAGAGAACTGGGTCATCTGAGTGAGACTAAAGTACATTTAGACTGTTCTGTTCAACCTTATAAATGTTTTCACCTGAAGATTATTTCCGACGTCATGATTTTGCAAAGTTAAAACCAGAATGTCACTGAGTAGAGCGCACTCCTCCGCCAAGGTCCAACAGTCCCCTTAAATTCATGAAGCTGCACCAAATTGCACACACTCATAGAAATCAGTCCTCTGAATGTGCCTGATTTATTTTTATCAAGATTCATGAATTATTCTCTGGGAAAGCAATTAAAACGTAGAAAAAGCCCTCTTTTGAAATATTAAGGAAAGGGATAATAAAAAAATCAATATCCGCCCCCTGATCTGGATCTTTATCAAAATTGAATCAGTTCTTTATTGACTAATAATAATCTGTCCAGTCATTTTGTGTAAAGTTGCTGACTTGGTGGACAAAATTTAGAAAATGGGAAAAGTCAAACTATTACGACTCACATGATACTCATAAGAGTACTTGAAATTATGTGATTGTTTATGGGTAACATAAAAATAACTACAAACTACGCCCTCGTTTGGTCTCTGGGTGAGGTTTATTTTTGTTGAAACCAGGTTAAACAATGTAACCCATAATTTCTGCCTCTTAGCTTCTGAATATTGGAAATCATGGGAGTCCTCTCCTTTGCCCCCAAACACCGAACCTCCATCATCTGTTCACTCTCGTCTACAAATCTGCTGTGATATCCTGCATATTTGTTTATCAATCAGTTGTTCTGTTATGTATTATTTGGGCTGTACAATTGCAATGGATTATTTATTAACATATATATTGCTGTACATTCTGATGGAAATTTACATTAAAATATTTGTAAAATGTCTTGAATCTGTGATTGTTACGTATCTGGGTAGAGATTAAGAGTTTTCACATCTGACAAATATTAAACAGTTGAACACTGTTGTGCAGCCAAACCCACAAATATTTTAATCTGAGTCGTCTGACGCATTTTTAGTAATCTTGTAATTTCCTCTAATGCGGAGCCTCTCTGAGTTTGGGCTGGTGTATGTTGCTAACAGGCTTTGAATACAGAGTTGGTATATTAATTATTTTTAAAGTTTGTCATGTCAGACCCTCCATCCATAAAATATTGATTAGCTACACATCTCATCCTCAGTAATTACACTAGCTGATTTTAATAATTGTGATTTTCTACAGGACGTGCTTGTGTGATCTCACCCATGGAACGGAGAGCCTCTTCCCCTCATTGGGTAATGCAAGCAGGCTTTTGCTGATTTCACTGAGTTGAATATAAATTCAACTTAAAGGTTCAGTGTGAAAGATTTAGTGACATCTAGTGGTGAAGTTTCATGCTGCAGCTGAATACCCCTCACATCACCCTCCACTTCCAAACATGAGAGAGAACCTGTGGTAGTCTTCAGTCGTCAAACTCAAAAGGTGTTGTGCTTGTCCAGTCTGGACTACGGTAAAAAAAAATGGCCGCCTCATATAGACCTGCTGCTGATGTAAATATAAAGTATTTAAATATTAAGGGCCCATTCCAGGGTAAAGAAAACAACAATTTGTACCATTTAGATGAAACACACTAGTGGAAACATTACTATGATTATTTTATATTCAATTCATGTCAATAGATCCCTTTCACCTAAATCACAACAATGGACCTTTGAGTCAGTTTTTAGTCATAAAGATTTGTTTATCTTTAGTCAGCTGAAAAGTCTGTGTGAAAAAAGTAGCTTCCATCTCTGGCACAATAATCATCATTTCACCATCTTGATCTAAAATCAAGCTCCACTAATCAAGACAAACTCAGCTTTGTCATACATCTTCAAATTTATTTTTTATTTGTATAGTATGAAATAGTGGATGCATCATGATTCCCCTCTAATTCATTCAGGTTTTCACTGAATTTGTCACATTTACCAAAGTGAAGAGGGCGAATGTATTGTACAATAACCAACTTCACAGACGTACTCAACATGTCAGCTCCAAACAGGAAAAGAGGGATCATGCAGCACATAAAGCAACATAACACAGCAGCAAAAAGAACTGTTTGTCTGGATACAGCAACACCATGTGACAAAACCAAGAGCTGGGTCATGGAAATGTCCGGCAGCTATTCACATGGCTTCTGGATGACTATCAGCAGAAAGTCATTCTCTGCAGAGAAATAAGGGGAGAAGAGGATGAAGGATAAAAACAGACAAGAAAAGTGTGACGATAATAAATGTTGGTTTCAGTGGTCATCAAAAAGACATTAAACAATAATGTGACTCACCCAGTGCCACCATGATCTCATGTTTCTTGGTGCGGATGCGGAGGAAGGTGAGGTCGTTCTGGGGGTCGATATCTCTCACTGTGCTCCTGGCCATCGTGGTGAGCTGACGAAAAAGTCCTGCGTACTGGACAGTTGTGGAGTTATCTAAGGTTGTTCTGATGGGAATACCTGAGAAGATCACATCCGAATCAGGGGGAACCAGAGGAAACTGCTGGGCTAATATCTATCATTTTGTGTCTTACCTCCTCCATTGACAACTACTGTTCCAATCACACCTTTATGTGCTTCGATCCTCTTCAGTATGTCCTCAACGTCAGCCTGCAGGACGAAGACAAACCCCCCCCAGGACATTCAGATATGAAACGACAAACATTACGAATGAAATAGTGATAAACAGAAACTTTAAAGATGGCAGATTTCCTTCTGGTCTCGTTAAAAGGATGGTGAAGTTACTCCACATGTGACAGTTTACATCATTAATGCTTCAGCGAATGTTTCCTGTGGTATAAAGTTTACATACAAGTTTAAAAGTCAATCAGAATGGTTTCATGTCATCAAAGAAACATTTATAAAACGGAGCAGCTTGTTCTCACCATGTCGCGACTGCTCCTCTGCTGCTCCGCGCGTCTGCCTGTTGCCAGGGGAAACGGAAGCGACGTCAGACGCAAAGCGGAAGTGTAGTGCGTAGCGTAGCCGTCATTGTGTGCCGCTGGTAGTTTGTGTGCTGTTGATCGTCACTGCGACAGAAAATGCCGGAGTTAGCGGTGGAAAACGTGGTGGTTCATCCGCTGGTGCTGCTCAGCGTGGTCGACCACTTCAACAGGTCAGTGCCTTCAGTGTCCGGGGGGGAGCCTCTTCCCCAGAGCCCGGTGTTAACACGTCCAGGAGCGAGACGCCGCTGCTAAGCTAACGTTAGCCCTGCTGAGTCAGAGCCCCGTTGAGAGTGAACGCAGACATTAGCACGCTAGTGAGCTCAGTGAAATCACATTAAGCTCGTCACCTAGCCAGTGTTAGCTAACAGTATAGCAACAATGAACTGTTAAAGTAGTCAACAATATGTATTCCATGATTATATACTCTCGAGATATCATGTTGTCATTCATTTCACTAGCGGTTGAAGCTGTAGCTATTAGCTTAGCTCACAGCAGCACCTAAGCTAACTACTCACTCTTGTGTCTAAGTTCCCATTAACTAGAATGTTGAGTCTTCTTGATAATGTCACTGTTCAATCTACAGGATAGGGAAGGTTGGCAATCAGAAACGAGTGGTCGGTGTCCTCCTGGGATCATGGCAGAAAAAAGTTCTTGACGTCTCAAATAGTTTTGCAGGTAAGTGTCCTGATGACAGCGTTTAGAGTAAAACAGGTTCATTTAAGAACAAGAGGCTGATACATACAGATTATTTAGTCTCTGGTTTGGAAGAAGATCTCTAAACTTGATTATGTTAAGACTTTAAAAGATTCCCCCCAATCACAGAAAACATCATACAGCGTTTTTCATAAACTTTGTATTTGACTTAAATGTGTAACATCATATAAGAAAACATCTTCCCTGTTAAGCTACAGCACAACATAAAGCAAACATAGTCTAAAGGTCAATAATTATGCTTATGTGCCACAGACAGATGTTTTCAGTTCTGTCATTGTTTTTTCCAGTGCCATTTGATGAGGATGACAGGGATGACTCCGTGTGGTTCCTGGACCATGACTACTTGGAGAACATGTATGGCATGTTCAAGAAAGTTAATGGTAATCCTCTGCATATTTCACATAATACTTTAAGTAGATTTTGATACCTGTGAATAACTGTCTCTTCTGGTTTTCAGCCAGAGAAAGGATAGTTGGATGGTACCACACAGGACCCAAACTACATAAGAATGACATTGCCATCAATGAACTCATCAAGCAGTACTGTACCAATTCGGTATGCATCTACTTCCTTTTTCCTGGTCAACCCTGGTTCCACTCACATTCATTCTGGGGTTTAATAACTAATATTTATCTTTGATCCACCCTCCAGGTGTTAGTCATTATAGATGTGAAGCCCAAAGATCTTGGTTTACCCACAGAAGCTTACATCTCCGTGGAGGAAATACACGACGTAAGTAAATCATTAGTTTGAATCTAAACTAAAGTTTGGATAGTTGGGATTATTGTTGATAGGGGCGTTTCACTATTTCTAGGATGGCACACCAACATCCAAGACATTTGAACACGTCACCAGTGAGATTGGAGCCGAGGAAGCAGAGGAAGTAGGAGTGGAGCACCTGCTCAGGTACTGAACAACATTATAACCAAACATTGAGTCATCTCAGTAAGAAATTGTTATTAAAGTACAGATTTTATATATGATGCAATTATAGCAAAGCTGAAAACATCAAAATAGTAAATGCAAACAGGCAGAAATAATTGAAAATGTCAACTTCTTGTTACTTGAATGAACCAAAAAATGTAAAGATGAGCTCACTCTCATTTTCCTCTCATCTGCTACATCCTGGTTACAGAGATATCAAAGATACCACAGTGGGCACTTTGTCTCAACGCATTACAAACCAGGTTCATGGCCTAAAGGGACTCAACTCGAAGCTGCTGGACATTCGCTCTTACCTGGAGAAAGTGACAGCAGGGAAACTTCCCATCAACCATCAGATCATCTACCAGCTGCAGGATGTCTTCAACCTGCTGCCAGATGTGAATTTACTGGTAAGTAATTTGTGTTTGCAGTACATCAAGTTAGTTTCATCTGTAATCATTGTAGGGACATGGGGTGATGAATGGAAGTGAAGCAGATTTCTCATGATTTGGCATCTACATCACAAACATTTAGTTCATAGGTTCATTTAATTGAAGCTGCATTTTTGTTTTCCCTGTTAAAGCCCAGCTAAAAATGAAAATATAAAGGAATTACCTTGTACTGTTTTGGCAACCTTTGAATTAATGTAGTGAACCAATAATTTAATATACAGTCAAGGAACTTCTCATTGTATCCACTGGTGGGCAAACAAATTCCAATTTAGTGAGACCATTTAAAAAATATATTTATTTTGAAATTCATTCATAAATATGTACTGCGACAAAACATCCAGTGTATTTTCATTTCAATGAAATTATTCTTATTATTTTCACTTTTTTGTATTTCATATGTTCAGAGACATAATCAGAGAAAAAGTGAGGATGAGGAGTAAATACATGTTCAACCATATATACAAATATGTACACAAATACACAGGGATGCACAGAAGTATCATATCTTCTCACAGACATATCTACTCTCAAATTAACAACAAGGGGTTTGAATTATACTAACTTACAATAACTGGTGCTCAGATGTTGCTTCTATGATCTGCAGTTTTAAACTGTGATTTCTTGACTCTGTGTTGCTTAACTTAATGTTTCCTCTTTACAGGAGTTCACAAAAGCCTTCTACCTGAAGACCAACGACCAGATGTTGGTGGTCTACCTGGCCTCACTCATACGCTCAGTGGTGGCCCTGCACAACCTAATCAACAACAAGATTTCAAACCGAGACGCAGAAAAGAAGGAGGGACAGGAAAAGGAGGAAGGCAAGAAAGAGAAGAAAGATGACAAAGAGAAAAAAGATGAGAAGGACAAAGACAAAGAAAAGGAGAAAGCAGATGGTGCCAAGAAAGATGAGAAGAAGAAAAAATGAGAGTTCTTCCTCTGAAGTCTTCTCTCAAATCATGTCATCTTCATCTGGATGGTGCTCTACTTTGTGCCCACAGCTCTGTATGTGGGTCTCAGGCTAAAAGTAGGGCTCTATATGGGGAATGGTGTCATTTGAGATTTGGCCTCACGGTCACAAGTGGCACTCATAAAGACTCTTATTATCGTACAGAGATGATGATGTTTGCTTCTTTGCCGTTCTGAACTATAAGAACACGTTAACTGTTTTTGGAGTTGCCCATCCTCCTGGTGTTGTACAACACCTGGTATTGCTTTTTTTGTAAGATGGAAAAAGGTTTTCTTCTGTATCACTTATTAAATTGGGATCCTATTAAAAGTTTGATGTTTTTGCATTTTTCACTTTTGCTCTTCTCTCTAAATTTAAAAACAGTTTATTGTTGTCTAATAGGTGTATGTTTTGTGATCACCCATTTACATTGAGTGTATGTGTATGTGCATAAATGCTAACCTTGTCAGGACCAGGCAAAACATGATTTCTGAGCTCATGGTTAAGGTTAGAGCTAAGGTTTTGGTTGGGCTGTCCAGAATGAATGGAAGGCAATGTAAAGTCTTAAAAACGATAGCTTTCACAAATCTGTGTGAGAACTCCCCGCAGGCCAGTGAACTCACACGTAGCATGAAATGATCATATGTGCATAACCTGTTTCCTGTTTAGACAAACCTTAAAATGGACATTACATCAGCAGCAGGACACATTTCAAATCAATACTTTACATACACACACTCGAATAACATGCATTTGGAATATTGACATGTTGATATTTACACTTTTGAAATTCAAAGTTTCCTTACTGGCATAGTCATAATCCAGTACAACATTCTGACTGAAGAGGGTTTGACAATTAAACACTTTAATATTGTGCTGTAGCAGCACAGAATGAATGTCATGCTTTATAAAGATCTATTCAATACAATTTCATATGTATAGCACCAAATCACAGAATACATTAACTCAATGCATTTTACATTCCATTCATATAAAATGATAGAGGAACTCAACAGTTCCCACAACGAGCCAGCACTTTGCGACAGTGGACAATAAAAACTACAGCAGAAGCAGATTCAGTGAGACACCAGGTGAAACATGTATGTGTCTGTAACATGCACCTGAGCACAGTGATGTAAAACTCTGCAAAGGCAGTGGAAGCAGAGAGGAGGAGGCATCTGTGGATATTTATACCACTGCGTCATCTGCACCTACAGTCACTACAGCATCATCAGCAGTAGTAGTAGAAGAAGAAGAAGGCGCTGTGAGTAGAAGAAGAAGCAGCAGTGGAAACCAGTGCAGCACATTTTAAACTGAGGATGTGTCGAGCAAATCAGATTATTGTCCCGGTAAACTGGATTCTGACGTAAAGGGTTTAACACACACACACGAGCATCGCCTGTAGCAGTGTGAGAGGAGAGCGGCTCGTGCAGCACTCACCCATCATCAACCACCGCCCTCCCTCTCCCCCCTCTCCCTCTCTCTCTCTCCCTCTCTCTCTCTCGACCATGACTCCTCAGACGTCTCACCGACACTGAGCGGAACACACCATCACCACCAACATGGCTTCTTACCTGCAGGTGAGTGCAGTTGATCTGGTCCCGGGTGTTGTGTGTGTTTGGGTTTCTCTGATAAACTTGTCGGGGTGGGGTTGGTTGGTTGGTTGCTTGCGGTGCGCGTGCTGCTGCTGCGGAAACAGCCGGTGGCACGAGCTTCTCCGTCGTTAACAACACACGAGCAGCGGTTCGAGTCCGTCATGTGTTTGTGTGTGCGGGGACAGACAAACAGGTGGTTGAGTTGAGGGGGGGGCGTCAGTGTTGCTAGGAGATTCACTGTTGATGAAACTGTCCCTGACAACCGCTGTTACAAAGAGAGAGAGGGACATTCTTCCTTCTGTCTCGTTCCAGATCGCTGACGATGAGAAAGGTCACGAGCTGGACCTGTTCTGCGTCCCCAGACATTACGAGAACGACCTGGACAAAGTGATCATCCCCCACGGACTCATCATGGACAGGTACACCAATCAGCTGCAGGCGGGCTCAGCACCGGAGCCAATCACTGCACGTTTCTCCCTCAGGTCGTCTGACCCCGATACACATTCATATTTGTGGCTTATGTCAGCATTCACA